GAGCCCGCAAGCTCGAGACCTGCCCGGGCAACTTGGCGAGACCTCGTCTCTACAATAAATCAAAAAATTAACCAGGAGTGGTGGTGAGCGCCTGTGGTTCCAGCTACTTGGAAGGCTGAGGTGGAGGGATCGCCCAAACCCAGCAGGTTGATGCTACGTGGCCGTGATGCAACCTGGGTGTCAGAGTGAGACCTTAACTCAAAAGAAAGAGGAAGACTTTGTCCAGGGTTGCTTTTTGAAGCATCGGAGAGGCTATCTTGTCTATTGACAAGCCCCTGAAGTTTAAACAGCCAGGTCCTGTTTCAAAGGCGTGATCTGGGGGGAAGAAACAAAGAGCTCCGCGACGGACTCCGAAGTTGGTGACATGACAAGCGGCCTCGCCGCAATTGCTTCAGATGCTCTAGAACCTGTGGTTCCGATCTGCCCAAGATCGTCCATGCACCAGGTTGGCCCGTGGCTGCATGGGCAAGTGCTGGCCTGAGTCCTGAGCAGACAGAAAAGCAGACATCGAGGCCAAAGAAGGAGAAAGAACAGTGGTCACAGCCTCAATAAACCCAGACACACCTCCGCACCTCGAGGCAGTCAACAAAGCCTGGGTGTTCTGTTAAACTTTGCAAGCTCCCCGTGACCTGGCCCCACTCACCTTGCCAGTCTCACTCCCGCCTCTCTCCCAGGTCACTGATTTGACAGAATTGCTCCGCCTCAGGACTCCTTTCTCCTGCCTTCTTTCTCGAGTCTCCTTTCCCTTTCACAAATGTAATAAACCTCTAGCCTGCCCTTGACCCTGAGCCCTGACCTGCAGCCTGGCGCTTTCCCCACCTTGTACCCAGGCCAGGTCCAACTTGCCCTCAGATCCCATCTGTCTCACTCTGTCACCCAGGCTGGAGTACCGTGGCCCAAATCACAGCTCACTGCAGCCTCGAACTCCTGGGCTCCAGCGATCCTCCTGCCTCAGTCTCTGGAGTAGCTGGAACTACAGGTGCGTACTCACAAGTTTGGCTAATTTTTAAAATTATTTTGTAGAGACAGAGGTCTTGCTATGTTGTCCAGGGTGGTCTCGAACTTCTGGCCTCAAGAGATCCTCTCACCTCAACCTCCCAAAGGGTTAAGATTTAAAGTGTGGACCTAGCCAGGCTCGGTGGCTCAGCCTGTAATCCCGTGCCTTGGGAGGCTGAGGTGAGTGGATTGCCTGAGCCCATGGGTTTGAGACCCGCCTGGGCAACTTGGCGAGACCTCATCTCTACAATAAATAAAAAATTAGCCGGGTGTGGTAGCGCACTCCTGTAGTTCCAGCCACTTGGAAGGCTGAGGCGGAAGGATCACCGGAGCCCAGCAGGTCGAGGCTGCGGTGGCCGGGAGCGGCCACTGCACTCCAGTCTGGGCGACAGAGACTCCAACTCAAAAATAAATAAATAAATAAATGAAGTGTGAACAACCGCGCCCGGCCTCAGATCTCCTCTTAAACACCACTTCCTCTGCAGCTGTCCCTCCAATCCAAACCAGTTCCTTCAGAGTGCCCTGGACTCCTCTCCATAGCAGCTACCATATTTTAAAACGTATTAAAGTAGAGAATTTTGTTCAGAAAGTCCAAATTTCCTTACAAGCTTTTTTGGTTTCGTTTCTGTGTATATATCGAAGTCTTTATCCATCTTAAGTTTATTTCTGTTACCCTTTTATTTTTCTTTCTTTTTTTTTTTTTGAGTTGGAGTCTCACTCTGTCGCCCAGACTGGAGTGCAGTGGCCGCTCCCGACCACCGCAGCCTCGAACCACTGGGCTCTGGCGATCCTTCCGCCTCAGCCTTCCAAGTAGCTGGAACTACAGGAGCGCACTACCACGCCCGGCTAATTTTTGACTTATTGTAGAGATGAGGTCTCGCCTGCCCAGGCGGGTCTTGAACCTGCGGGCTCAGGCAATTATCCTTTTCTTTATTATTTTCAAGACAATGTCCTGCTCTGTTGCTCAGGTTGGAGTACAGTGGTGCGATAATGGCTCGCTGTAGCTTTAAACTCTTTCCTGGGCTCAAGCAATCCTCTGGCCTCAGCCTCTGGAGTAGCTGGGACTACAGGTGTGAGGCATCATGCCCGGCTACTTTATTTTTATTTTTTGTACATAAGGAATCTCACTATGTTGCCTAGGTTGGTCACAAACTCCTGGCCTCAGACAATCCTCCCACCTTGGCCTCCCAAAGCTCTAGGATTATGAGTGTGAACCATTGAGCCCAGCCTGACATTTATTTTTTGGATACAGAAGTCTGATTGTCTCCACAGTTACCTGACATTTACCTTCCCACTTTGCTATAGCATTTTTTTTTTTCTTTTGAGTTGGAGTTTCACTCTGTCTCCCAGGCTGGAAGACAGTGGCATGATCAACCTCCTGTGCTCAGGGATCCTTCCGCCTCAGCCTCCCAAGTAGCTAGGACTACAAGTGCATGCCACCATGCCCGGCTGATTTTTGTATTTTTTGTAGAGACAAGGTCTTGCCATGTTGCCCAGGCTGGTCTCAAACTTCTGGGCTCAAGCGATCCTACCACCTCCCAAAATGCTGGGGTGACAGCCACAATTTTCTCTGCCTGCCTTCTCACAGAATTGTTGTGAAGATCAAGAGTGATCAGGTTTGAGCCTAGGGTTTGCTATGATACGAATGTGAATGTGAATTGTATAGCTTTATTTATGTGAGAGACACAATAAATGTTTGGTGAATAGCTGAATGAACAAATGAGCCTACCTTGTCGATCACCTTATTTTAATCAAAGACTAAATGCATGAGCCGGGCTCGGTGGCTCAGCCTGTAATCCCGCGCCTTGGGAGGCTGAAGTGAGTGGATTGCCTGAGCCCGCGGGTTCGAGACCCGCCTGGGCAAC